TAAACAGAGTCAAAGAGATCACACATTGTTTATCAAGCACTCTGATTCAGAGAGAGTCACAGTTCTATTAGTGTATGTTAATGATATAATCTGGAGATAATGAAAAAGAGAGAGAATCTCTAAGATAGTGTTTGGCTAGAGAATTTGAGATAAAAGAGCTAGGGAGATTGAAGTACTTCCAAAGAATTGAAGTAACTCACGGAATGGTATTTTCATCTCACAACAAAAATATGTGATAGATCTTTTGAAAGAAACTGGGAAGCTCGCATGTAAACCTACAAATACGCCTATAGATCCTAATCATAAACTTGGAAAAGCTAATGAAGATACTGCTATAGAGATGTACCAAAGATTAGTTGGAAGACTCATTTCTCTCTCACATACTAGCCCTGATATAGCATACGTTGTGAGTGTGATAAGTAAATTTATGCATAGTCCTAAAGAAGTGCACCTACAAGCTATCTATCATGTATTGCACTATTTGAAGGCCAAACCTGGGAGAGGTATCTTATTCAAAAGAAATTTGAGACTGGTTCTAAAAGCATATACAGATGCTGATTATGCAAGTTCAGCAACTGATAGAAGATCCACCTCATGCTATTACGCTTTCCTAGGTGGTAATCTTGTGACTTTTCGAAGTAAAAAACAGAATGTGGTGACAAGATCAAGTGCTGAAACAGAGTTCAAGGCGATGGGTCAAGAAATTTGTGAACTACTATGGTTAAAGATTATCCTAGTAGACTTGAAGATCAAGTGGGATGACTAATAAGACTTTACTGTGATAACAAGATTGTAATAAGCATTATACAAAATCATGTGCAACATGACAAAACAAAACACATTAAAGTAGACCGGCATTTCATAAAGGAGAAACTAGACAATGGGTTGATTTGTAAACCATATGTATCAACCAAGGGTAACTTACAGATATGTTGACTAAAGGTCTCAGTAGTGCAACATTTTAAGAAATTATTTCCAAGTTGAGAATGGAAAACACCTATTAACCAGCTTAAGAAGGAGTGTGGGAAAACACTTATTTACAGCTGATTGTAATCTTGCAATCTGTATATTTATATTTGTATCCCTAGAATTTAAGTATTTGTATCCCTAAAATTTAGGACAAAAAATTATGATAGACAATCCCTCAATTATAGGATCAATTTTTAGAAAGATTTAGTTTCCTAGTTTACCACTAGTCAATTGTATATAAACCTAAGGTACTTGTATAATTCTTTATGAATAGTTTTTCAATATACATTCAGTTTTACTTTTAGTTTTTCACACAGTTTTATTTATTAGTTTTTCCACAAATTTTACAAAGTGATAATAGGGGAGAGTATTTTTCTATAGAGTTTGTTCAATTCCTAAATGCAAAAAGTATTGTTCATCAGTCCTCGTATACAGATACCCCATAGCAAAATGAGAATGTTGAAAGGAAGAATCGTCATTTGTTGGGAGTGGCTAGAGCTATTTTGTTTCAAATGAAGGTCCCCTAAGTATTCTGGAGTGAAGCTATCCTCACAGCATGCTATCTTATAAATCGTTTGCTATACTCAATTCTTTAAGGAAAAGTTCCTCTTCAAGTATTGTGTCCTAATCGTCCCTTACTTCCAATCTCCTTCAAGGTGTTTGGGTGCACATGTTTTGTTCGTGACACTCATCCAAGTCATAGTAAATTAGACACACATTCCTTTAAGTGTATCTTTCTAAGTTATTCACGACTAAAAAGGGTAACAATGCTATTCTCCAGACCTAGGTTGCTTTATTATTTTGACAGAAGTCAAGTTTCATGAGTCGGTTCCTTTTCCTTCGATACTACAATCTCTTCCATCACCTATCATATCAGAAGAAGATTTCTCATCTATCAAATACATGGTACACTGGTCAATACATCTCCATTTGTGGCATGCCTAGATACTTGATTTGGTCATACACTAGAAGGACTTGCATAGATTCGCCTACGAAAACTTCCCCTGTCGAGACAGTCTTTTCGTCATTGGATTCATCTCAAGACACTATGGCTACTATGTACTGATTGCTATACGACAAGGTACACAAACTTGTAGAAAATTTCCTTTATACACACCCTCGTACAAAAGACTTTTTGCTTAACTTCAGGCTTGTATTGCCACAATTGATGCTATTACTGTGCCACGTACTCTTCGTGATGCTTTTGCAGATTTAGGATGGTGTAAGGCTATCGAGGATGAGATGATGGCCCTTGAGGCTAACCATACATGGGACTTGGTTTCCTTGCTAGAAGAGAAGCAAGATATTGGGTGCAAGTGGGTTTACATAACAAAATTGAATCCTGATGATTCATTGGCTAGACTAAAGGCAAGGCTAATAGCGAAGGGATATGCACAAACATATGGAGTAGATTATTTTGATACATTTTCTGTGGCAAAGATGACATCTATTCACCTATTAATCAGTTTTGTTGCTACACATAAATAGGCATTACATCAATTGGATGTGAAGAATGCTTTCCTACATGGTGACTTGACTGAAGAGTTATATATGGAGCAACCACTAGGGTTTGTTGCTCAAGGGGAGTGTGGGAAGGTGTGCTGTTTGCGTAGGTCTCTGTATGGTCTGAAGCAATCTCCACACACGTGGTTCGGCAAATTTAATGTAGCTCTTGTTTAGTATGGGCGGCAGAGTTCTACCCTTATATTGTTGGGAGTGTATGTAAATGATATCATCATCACTGGCAATGATGGTGCAGGGATTGACAGACTTAAGATGTATCTTAAGTCCCAGTTTAAGACTAAGGATCTTGGTCAATTGAAATATTTTCTAGGTATTGAAATGGCAAGGTGTAAAAAGGGAATCTTTGTATCTCCAAGGAAAAATGTACTGGATATTTTGAGAGATGTAGGCTTGTTCCATGCCAAGCCAAGTGACACACCGATGGATCCAAGTATTAAGTTTTCTCTAGAAAATGGTACTTTACTTGATGATCACACACCTTATAAGAGACTAGTAAGAAAACTGAATTACTTGACCATAACAAGACTTGATATATCTTTTCCAATGAGTGTGGTTAGTCAATTCATGGCAACTCCTAGAGATACTCACTGGAGAGCAACAATGTGCATCTTTTGATATTTATTGAGAAATCCTAGAAAAGGGATCCTTTACAATTCAAATAGTGATGGGGGTATTCGAGCCTATGCAGATGCAGATTGAGTAGGGTCTCCTATAGATAGGAAGTCTACATTTGGTTATACTAACTTCCTTAGAAGTAATCTGGTGTACTAGAAGAGCAAGAAACAGCATGTAGTTGCTAGGTTTAGCACAGAAACCATGGCTTTGGCTACAACAGAGGTATTATGGATGGTTCAATTCTTAGATGAAATTGAGCTTCCATTTTCGGACCCCTACAAAGTTATGGGGTGATAATCAAGCGGCAATTCATATTGCTTCCAATCCAGTATTTCATGAAAGAACCAAGCATATAGAAGTTGATTGTCATTTCATTAAGGAAAAGTTGCAGAGTGGAACAATATTATTAAAGCATGTGCACACAGGGGAACAACTAGCTGATATTCTTAGGAAATCACTTCCAAGAGTTGGGGCTGACTATATATGTAACAAGCTGAGCATGGCTGATATATTTGCTCCAGCTTAAAGGGGAGTGTTAGTGTATACGTGTGTGTGAGTTGGAATATTATGACAATATTCCATGGGAGATAGTTAAGGAGGGATTAATTGGGGGCATTAATGTGTAATTTGTAATTGATTCTCTTTCCTTAGTATTGTTTATATGATGAAAGGCTAATCCAAGTGATTAGTAAGTTGTTCTCTAAAGCCTTAATTCTAACATTAATGAATTTATTTTCTCATTCTTTAAGAAAGAAAAGTACAAAACGCTTCTAGCATGCTTTATGGAAAATCTCCAAAAATCAAGAAAGTGCTTTCCAAAACGTAAAAGGGTTTTCCTATTTATTTTGTTCTTTAAAAAAAGAAAACATCACCAAATCCTACAATCATAATTACTAATATAACTGTATGTTTCCTGATTTCCTTCCAAAATCAACCATACAATCAATATCCATCCACTAAAGAAATGGAGAAGAGAAAGAAACGAAAATATAATATTATAACCCCTCCTCTCTTCCTCTCCCCCATAAAAAAGAAAAAAGATAGTGTATCATCTATTCACCCACGATACAAGGAAGTTCATCCAGCCTAAGTTAAAAACATACTACTACGCATGATGTATGCTAGAGGCAACAGATAAAGAAGTAAAGTAAAAAATAACATGACTTCAGAATTATACAATGAGTCTAAAAAATTTATTTGCTGAAGATTGGGTAGTAAATAGAGCAACAGACTCGACCATCATGATCACCTATCCAACTGCTATTCAAACCATTAAAAAACCACTATTTTTACAGGCAATAGGACACATTTCACCAACAACAAAGCTTTTTAAGTGGCAACAACATATTTAAATGGTTCATTTTAGTAGAGCACATATGAAACTTGGGAGAAAAGAGAACCATAGTGCTGAGAGATTAAACTTTCTAAGAAAAGTTGAGGAGGGGAGGGGGAAGAGGGAGAGAAAGGGGAAAGTTAACTCCGGCAACACTAATAGTATGCTTTTTTCAAAGTCCAGTCTGACCAAAATTACAAATGTTCAGATCAAAATATACCACCAGAACTAACTTATTCATGACCTGCACAGACAGCTAACATGAACAATAGCTGTAATTTTTTTAAAATCATTCACAAGGTTTTCACTAGCGTTCTCACTAAGGACATGGAAAGTAATAAGGTGGCTATAGATTTTTTTTTTTTATTTGTCACTTAAAGTTTCCACCTATATTACCTGAAAGATATAGCAAAGACAATCACATGACAAATAAATGAAACAAAAAATGTATTGATTATCTTGGCAAGTAACACCAAAAAGTCAAATATTTACTACAAAAAAATTATAGATAAATCAAAGAAATTGGAAAGGACAAGAATCAAAGACAAGTGCTTAGTACCTGTAGGGCCAAACCATAGCCACCATTGACGTCTTGTTCAAAATAAAGTAACTGAAAGTTTTACATTATGAAACAGTGAGTTATTATCTAATTTTGACAAGGTACCACTTTGAAGAGATGCATGCTCATGCACAATGGACACACGCACACAAACATACAGCAAAAGTGCAACATAGAGAGAAGTGATCAGTTGTGGCACACACCCAAATGCTTCATAGTCATTTTGAAAGGAACACAATATCATTCAAAGAAAAGTTTCATGTATAACCTACCTTGAATTTGCTTTGTGCTGTTGAAGTTACCCTCACAACAATCCCAGCTTCAGCTTGTTCATCTCTTATTGTTACACCAAAGAAGTGGGCACATTGCTTATCTACCTACAGCCAAATGCATGAGAATTTGGGAAAGAATTTGAAAGAGTATGGTGCATCAGCTAGAAATAAAGTAAGCACCTTTCCGCTAACTGATGTTCCAATAGGAAGGGGTCTAACTGTGACAGTTCCATTTAGAGCTTCTTCAAGAACATTAGCTGAGATCGTAGTCTTGATGGGGACACCAAGCTTACTAAAGATATATATATTTAACAAGCAGGGTAGAAGAAAGAATAAGTGACTCAGAAATAAGTAAATTCAGCATAAAAGTTGCAATATTTCAATGGATGTCTCACCTGAATAATGCTGCAAACATTGTATTAACAGTTCCCAGATTGGACAAATCAATCTCCATATCCATTGAATCTTCAAGAGCCTTGTAACATTTGTTGAAAAAAGAGAAAAACATCAGGTTTTGACAACTTGCCATCATAAAAGGAATATAAGGTGGAAATTATGAACAAGAGAAGAAATACAATTGGAGGAAACCAATACAATCTTAAGTTAACAACATCATCAAGGAAATTTACGAACTAAAATAGTGCAGTCAATGATAAATGCAAATAGATTCTTTAACTTTTTGTCAGTGACATGAGGTTTCACAACAATATTCGATGGAATTAGAAAGCGACACTTTGGGAACTCTAATGAGATGTGAATAGGGGATGGTAATGTAACACTAGAAAATGTAGGTGATTTAGTACTTAAAGGAAAGTAGTGTTAAAAGAAGGTTAATCTGAAACAAGGAAATGAGATAAAGTACATAGGTCATAAAGAACAGTTAAAACTGATGGTTTCCTAGTTTCAAGTGGTAAAACTAGAGGGAAAATTTAAAAGAGAATAAAAGCCAAAATCCTCAATAGGTGATCTGAGGAGATGTTCATGGTTTAAGGGGGATGGATTTCCATCAATAGAAGTATCCATGGCAAGTCTCAATCAATCAATCAAAGCACATAAATACCTCTCTCTTTGCGCACAAGTGCATGCATGTGTGAGAGAGACAAAGAGAAAGACCAAGATATGTTATTTGCACAACCCTTTTTAAGACATCCTCATATTTTGGATTAGAATCAATATCCTACAACTAAATTCAGAGATCAAGTTTATACATGAAAATCTTCAAATACAAACAATCTAAACCATGTCCTGCATTAAAAAATTTCTTTTTTGGTTAAAGCTAAAATAGATTGGGGTAAATATAAAAGTAAAATTATTAAAAAATTACACGTTGGAGATCCAATTATGAGCTAAAAAAATTACAAGGTGGAGACCTAATTATGAGCTAAAAGACACACACACAACAAATAAATCAGAGCTAGTTCCAAAATATGCATGAATAAAAAGAATTCTATATAAAAGGGAAAATCATCTTATACCTAAACTCAACTATGCCAAACAAACTAGTTGGCGATGGCTATATGATTTAGAACAAGGATAATGGGACAGAAAATGCAGACTACTAAGAAAATATAAAGGAAAAGGGAGATATAAAGTAAGTGGACAAGGCGAAATAGAGGGGAAAGGAAATATCACCACTCAGAACTCAAATCTCAATTCATAATATCTCAATAATCAAAAGTGGAAGGAAATTGAAATAGGCTACTCTTAAGACCTAACATAAATACAAGAAACCAAATATAACACCAAATGCCCTTATAATTCTTTAAATACTAAAAACTACAGTTGAAATGCAAAAAATTTATAAAACCAGTAAAAAAATCTCAAAATAATTCAATCCTTTCATAAGCAGAATCTTGTCCTGTGTCATCAAGTCAGTGTTTCCATTTTGATGTTTTCCTAGATGATTTGATATTGAGGTTTAATGATCCACAGTACTCCATAAGGGAACTTGAGAGAACCTATGAAACAAATATACATAACAAACCCTACATACCCATGCCATATTCAGATTCAACTGAGATACATTACCTGATATGGCTCGATACATAACCCAAATCCCTATTTTCTATTAAGCCGCATCACAAGATCAACGTCACCAATCGCCTCATTAATTGCCAATCATTTTGCCAATCCAATCCAATGGTAATAGCTGCCATGCTACCGCATTATCTAACATGTCCATGATACATTACCATGGACATCAGTAACGCCATGTTAAAGGTTTTGAAAACAGTCTTCACTACTAATTTTGACACCCTAATTCCATTTTTTAGATTCATTTTACAAGATTCAGCCTCTATGGGGAAAAATCATTTTTTCTGTACTGACAAAAAAGAGTTCTCGGTCCATCAAAATCACCGGTTCATTTTCTACATCAAGTTGTAACTCTAACTTTGTAACCTTAAACTAAAACCGATGTTCTCAATAAAACATCTCATGATAAACTTTTTTTTTTTTCCCTTTTGAATTGAAGTTCACCATAAAATCTAAATTTGCAGCAATTACACCAATCCCTGAGCAAGAAATTATTAATTTCTCAACAAGAAAGTGAGACTCAAATAAAAAAAAAAATGCTTAAATCTGTGCTGAACAGTAACACTGAATAAAGGAAATGAACCTTGAAACATATGTTGCAATGCTTAATTCTGTGTAACATAGAGAGACATAAAATACAACATTGAACATAATGAAGAATACTAAAACAATGTGAAAAGAAAGGAAAGGAAAGGAAAGGCAAGCACCTCAAACCCCGCACTGTCATATTGTCTTCGCTTTTCTGGGTCAGATAAAATGCTATATGAATATGCAACCTCCTTAAAAAGCTCTGAAGCCTCAGGGTTGCTGGCATTCTTGTCAGGATGATACCTGTTAAAAGAACGAAAAAGAAAAATGAAGAAATCCAGGTTAAAAATAAACCAAACAAACAAGCATTTCATTGTAATGTTAAAACTTGAGAGATCAATCATAATTCTTGTGCGGCGAAGCTATGGATCTTTCATTCCTCTGGGGATCAAGAAGAATGTCAGTACAAATATCATCCGTAAGATTCCATTCACATTTCAAATTTCACTCATTAATTTTAGTCTGTATGTAGCTGGATGGGAACCATTGTCATAATGTCACCAGCTCGTACACCAAAATCCTAGCATAATAAATTAATAACTCATAAAACACAAGCACTCAACTTGCAGAAGAGAACGAAATAAACATCCTCACTGAAATTAATTACACGAGGAATTGGCAGTCTTAGAAAGATTTGCTGGAAGCTCAGCAACACACATTGTTCTGTAAACAATTCTACCACAGAATTTCACTAAGAAACAGACTTCCTACAATTATAAGAACTCTTCATAGAGGTTTCCTCTCGGTCATTTTCACTGATAACCTCATGAGCTATAATTCAGCTAGATATTAAAGTTAAACGCAAAAGCTTTGCAATAATCCCATTAGATCGAAATCTAATCTAGTATTAAAGCAACCGAAACATTGCAAAAGAAATCCATAAAATTGAATAAGAAAAGCATTAAAAAGAAAAAAAAAACTAACTTGAGAGCTAGCTTTCTATAAGCAGTTTTGATCTCCTGATCAGTAGAATCCCGTGAAACGCACAAAACTTCGTAAGGGTCTCGACGCATAGCCGGGGCCGATGGTCCTTCCATTTTCTTTGAACGCATCTTCTTTTTTTCTTTTCTCCCCTCTATCAAAAACTCCCTTTTGTCCAAAATCTCTCTTCAAATATGTCTAAACTACAGACGCAAATCTACAAATTTACAAACGGAAAAAGAAAATCAACAAAAGATCAACATTTTTCAAAGAGAAAAAAAAAAAAAAGAATTACACGGAATTCAACACGTATTGGATCGCTCCATTTCGGGAAAGAGAAAAAAATAGTAATAAATAACAAAAACAGAATAAAAAAAAAAGTAAAGATCTAACTTAGAATGAATATATGGAAAAATGAGGGAGCTAGGATTTTGAAATTTCAAATTTACAGAACGCCAGAACTAAAGAAGAAATTGCAACCCCCCCCCCCCCCTTTTTTTTTTTCTGTTTCTGTTTTCCTTATTTCTTAGATGCGAAGAGAAAGCGAAGAGATAGATGACGTAATAAGTTTTAAAATTTTTTTAATTTACAAAACGCGACGCGATACAAGGATTCTCTCTCTCTCCTTTTTTTTTGGTAAGCAAGGGTTCTCTCTTTTCTTTGATTTAGGATCCCTCTATGCTCTTCTGTTTTTTTTCCAATTTCTTTTCATATAGTATTTTATAATTTTTATTTTCTCAATTAACGTCACATGACATAATTAAATTTTCTTTTCAAGGAATTATTATTTTAACTCAATTTGATAAAATTATTAAAATATCTTCAATTTTTTGGCCAAAATCTTCGATTCAAAAAGTATTTTATTTCTTTACAGTTAAAAATATTTTCATAAATTTATTACAATATTTAAGGGTGAGATTTATGGAAACATAAATTTTATAGCATGTCACTAATTTTTAAATCACAAAGCTTTATGTGAGAAAAGTTGAAATCATTAGGTTCGGTAACTTAGATATGAAAGATTTCAAATTTAACATAAATTATGTGATAAAGTGTATATAAATGTGATCTTCATAATCATTTTCAAATTTATGTATTTATGGAATCCTTAATTTAATAATGAATTTAAAATATTCATAGATTATTGAAAAAATGAAATTTATTTTTTATAACATTTCAAATATATAAACATTTGGAATCATAACTAATTTATACATAATGTATATTCATTCCCATAATTTAAATAACAAACTAAATTTAAATCTATCCTCTCAAATTCTTTTTTTCAAACATAATTCTTTTTTCACTCTCAAAATTTCAATGTCAATTTCTCCTTTTAATTAGTAATTTCAGATTTTACAAATTTTAAGTGTTTCCTTTAATTTAACTAAGAAAATTCCCCAGCTATTGGCTCACAATTCCCTTTTATTTTAATAAAATATTAATTTTTTAACTTAGTGCTCATATTTTCTTTATAAAAATTCGAATTCGAACTTCCCAAAAAAAAATAATAATGTATTATTAAAATGTTAAAATTTCTTAAATATTTTTAATTATTTGAAATTAAAATATTTTTAGCAAAAAAAATAAAAATATCTAAATATGTTTAATAGTAATGTACATATGATTTTTATTTATTTAAATATTTTATGATTACTTGAATTTAATTTTTACAATAAAAAATATATATCTAACATATATCTATTTGAACTTACAATTTCCTGAATACTGACAGAACTTTTTAAAACTACTTATATTATTATTTTTTCTATTTTGATTTTTCAACTTTAATTGAAAGGTTATTAACCTCTTTTATAAATTATAGCAACACGTAAGAATCTAAATAATTTATATTTTCATATTATTTTTTAGAAGATTGTCCTTGTATTTGGATGGAGCTCATTAAAATATTTCTCACTTTAAAAAAAAAAAGTTTTTAAAAAAAATGTAACCATAAAATCTCAAAAAAATTTAATTATTGTGATATTTAAGAATAATTTTTTTCTATTGTCATCAATTTTACATGTTACAAATAAAATCATTAATCCTAATTTTAACATTTAAAATATATATATAAATAACATAATTTATTTATGTAATTAGTATTTTTTGTCAAATGACTTGCACATAAATAAAATTTATAGATTAAATGTATAGTTGTATAGTGTACAAATATTTAAAATTAATAAAATATGGATTAACATGTAAAGTTTATCTCATCTACAAAATACATAAGATTAACATAAATTTGGTTATTTTTATCTTTAATGCAAAATTAACATTATGAAGACAAATTGAAATGAATAAAGTGTATGTTAATGGGAACTTCTACACTAAATTTACATTTTTTGACTTTATTATAAAGTTATTGAATAATAACCATTAGATATATAAAAATTAATATAAACCATTAATTTTTTTTATTGTAAAAATAATTAATTACCTATTAACTTGTTAATCTAATTTTAATTAATTAATATTAAATATAATTTATTAAATAAAATAAAAGGAATTTTAAAACTGCCAAGTTTTTCTTCCTTTTATTATTTTTTTAGGACTTTTCATTTTTTTCTCAGCTTCTTTCTTTTATGTTTTATTCTTTTATTGACTTAATGTTTTTTATCATCTTTTTCTTTGTTTTAGATTTTTGGAATTCATTACTTTGCATTCCTTGTTTCATTTCTTGGCAGAAGGATACATATTTGACAAAATAATTAATATAGGTTGATGAATCATCTTGATCTTTCTCAATAAGCAATTCTATAATTTTATTTGCCAGCTTTAAGCATATATATAAATGGCATGTAGAAAAAAAAAGATGAGAATAATGTAAAATTAATATTATTTAATGTAAAATAGTTAGAAATGTAGTAACACTTTTAAGAAAAAGTTATAATAATTTTAAGCATAATGAAAGATAATAACAAGTGCAAAACGATATTATTATAATATAATAATTAAGTTAACAATGTAAAAAATTATTAATACAAATAATAAAATAATTTTAAACAAAAAATTAAGAGTCAATGTAAAACGGTGAGAATAATCATAAAATTAATATAATTTAACATAAAATAATTAGAAGAATCATTACACTTTAAGAAAAATTATAATAATTCTAAATATAATAAAAAGTAACATCAAATGTAAAATGAGTTTATTGAAATGTAATAAATCGATAACTATTATAAATAAAAAAAAAATAAGTTTTAACGTAAAAAAGTGAGAATAATCATAAAACTGATAACATTTGACGTAAAATATATTAAAAGTGTCATAATGTCTTAAGAAAAAATTGTATTAATTTTAAACATAATAAAAGATAAGAATAAGAATAAAAGATTTTATTATAATATAAATAATTAAGTTGACAATAAAAAAAATTATTATTACCAATAAAAAAATAATTATAAACAGAAAAATGTTAATGTAAAAATATGAGAATAGTTATAAAATTGGAATCGTTTGACATAAAGTGCATTAGAATGTTGTAAAGTAAAAGGATAAGAATAGTTATAAAATTGGTATCATTTGGTGTAAATTGGATTAAAATTGTCGTAATACACTAATAAAGAGTTATGATAATTTTAAATATAATAAAAAGAACGAACAAGAATAAAAAAATATTATTGTAACATAAATAATATTATTAGCAATGTAAAAGAATTATTATTACAAAAAAAAATTCTAAACAAAAAAATAAGTGTTAATATAAAAAAAGTGAGAGCAAGTGTAAAATTAATATTATTTAATTTAAAATAATTTGAAGTGTTATAACACCTTTAAGAAAAAGTTATAATAATTCTAAACGTAATAAAAGATAACAACAAGCATAAAAAGATATTATTACAACATAAATAATTAAGTTGGTAATGTAAAAAAGTTTTTTATTACAAATAAAAATAATTTTAAACAAAAAATAAAAGTTAACATAAAACGCTGAGAATAATTGTGAAATTAGTATAATGTAACATAAAATGGTTAAAAGTATTGTTACACTTCAGTAAAAAAATTATAATAATTTTAAACGTAAAAAAAAGTAACAACAAACGTAAAAATATATTATTAAAACGTAATTATCATAACATATCGGTCTTGAAGCTCAATTGTTAAATGTAAAGATTTAAAATCATGAACAACACAGAGAGTTGCCACTAATCTTTTTTTAAGGTATAATTGACCACCTAAAAATTTATTTTTTAATAAAACAATAAAATGAGTTTAAATTTTATTAAAAAAGACTGTTTTGGTCTACAAAAATAAGATTGGATTCGAAAGTTGATTACACGTGAGGAAAGATTAACACCTCCATAATGCTTATAAAATCGGTATCAATTAATTATGTGCTATTTATAACTTTGGACAAAAATGATTTTTTTATATGAAATTTAATTACAATTCCCTTCATTTTTAAGAAATAAAATTAATTAAAAAAATTTTATTTAGGAATATTATAAAAATCTTTAAATTAAAGAAATACTTTCAAATTCTTCAACGTAAAGACAGAATCTAAAGATAGTTTTTTCATCTAAGATTTATCATAATATTCTTTTCAAAAATAATAAAATAGCATTCCTTATAAATGATAATTATTGATAACTCTTTAACATCTAGGTAGAGTACCAACAATTATATTTCATGGAATGTTATTTTAATTTCATTTATTTAAAATTATATTTTTTAAAGAACTTTTTATGTAGTAAAATGAAGAATGATATAATGAATATTTACAATAAACATATATATGCACTATAAATGCATACATTACTATGAAATGAGATGTATGCAAATGATGATAAAATACGAGTTTAAGAATCGGGTTTTTAAATATAAAGAGACCACTTAGACTCTCCAACATTTAGGTAGAGTTTATGTGCAATTATTTATATTTAAAATCTCATTTTGTTATCTTTTATTATTTTATATTTTTATATTTATTATTTTAACAAAACAAATTTATTTTAGATTAAGAAAATGTATGAAAATTCTTAATTAAATAAAAATTTTTAAATACCCCATCATCTAGGTGACATTCGAGAATAAATTATTTCACAAAAGTTTTCATGCAAATCCTTAAAAATTTTAAATGAGTTTGGGGTTGCAAAGTTTAGTTTCAACTTAAGTCTATTTAAGGTTTTAGGTTTCCCCTTAGGGTTTCAATTTTAAGGCTTAAACCTTAGGGTTTTATTTAGGGTTTCAATGTTAGGGTTTCAATTTAAGGTTTCAATTTTAAAGTTTTGATTTTGAGTTTTAATTTTAGGATTTCAGTTTAAGGTTTCAATCTCTTACAAACCTTTCTAAAAATCTCTAACGCTATGTTTGAATTGAGGGGAAGGGAAAGAAAATAAAAGAAAATAAATGAAAGTAATGAAAATAGAAAAATATTTGCTTTGTTTGGATAAAATTTAAAAAAAAAGGAAAGGAAATATGCGAAAACCCAATAACCTTTGATTTTTCTTATAATCCTCACTTTTTTAATATCTCAATTTTGGGGAAAAGCTAAAGAAAGGAAAGTTAAAAAATTTAATTTTTTATGAAAAGATTATTATATCCATATTTTTATTATGACATTAGATTTGATTATATAATTGAAACCTTTTATAAAAATAATTTTCTTTATGAGTATTTTGCATAACATCATAATTTATAAATATTTTATGAATTTTCAAGTCTTAACAACAAAACAAACCAAATTATTATTAGAATAAATTAAAAGGCTGAATTAAATATAAAA